TTCTAAGTTATTATCGAAAATTTTATATACCTATCCCTAATATTATAATTCAGAAATTCCTATTAAAATTTTTCTATAATATTAAAATTTCAAATATTTTAATACCTTTATAAAAATTCCGCACTATTAAAATTCTAGAAATATAAGAGATTTAAATAAATATATTCCCAGAAATATAAATCTTTTATCGAATAATAATAATAATACGAAATATTCAATGTTTTAATATTTTTTTACCAAGATATATATATATATATCCTTATAATGAATTATTTATTATTTATCTTATAAAATTATTCTATATTTTAGTAATAGCAGATATTCTTTTATATTTACCAGAATATTTCATATTATAGATGATATATAAAAATTAGACACGCTTTGCAAAATGATTTTGAATTAAAAATATCCGTTTCTATATAACTATCATATTAAGATCTTCGGTTGCTTCAATATCGTGCCTATCTCAATAAAAGCAGCAAGAATTTAATCATGAGATATATTTTGAACGCTCATTCGTAGTAAAATTCTATGGCATAATCTACGAAAAACTCAAATTTCTTTCAGAACTTGGTGTTGAAAAACCCAAGCAAGAGACTAGGACGCGTCGGAAATTTCGACGCAGCCCGCACGACGTTAAAAGATTAAACCCCTCTCAATATCAATTTTGAATGGCGCATAGGATCCAAATAGCTTGTGCTTTTTTGGCGGAAATATGTTCGAAGCTATGTTGTCACCGACAGCCACAATCTCACCGGGATGCGGAATTTCGAAGGTATGTCAGTAGGACGTGCACTGCAGCTTCATACCTTATGCACGACCTCTTCGAACTTCCCAGTTCTATGTTGCTGGCATGGTCTGGTGAAGGATGTGCTGCTGCATCCATGCAGTTAAAACAGCAGGTTGCTGACACAGCAGCCGAGGCCTGAGGCATCACTGTAGGCATCCCTATTCGCTGAAATGGAATTGGGGCGACATGGCGTTGCACCGATCTTCCAGCGTGTTGAGGCAAAGTCTTCCTTCTGTTTAGCAGATAACTGGAAGTTCAGGAGCTCGTGCTCTTCTGACACTGCCACATGGATTCAAAACACAGGCAAGTTCATGCTACGCATTTGGAAAGCACGAGATGCGAACTTGCATTTTGTTGGGAGAGACGCACGTGACCTACCGCACCTATCGCGAAAGTCAGCTCTGGCAGTACCAGCTCAGATCCAAGATCTGGCTGCATTTTCATGGTGTCTGCGCAGCCGGCAACTTTCATGTGTCGACAGCTGTTGTTCTCTTATCCCTTGGCTTGAGCAGGGTACGCCAGTACGTATCTTGAGACATGCCCACTCCGAGGCTCAGCCCACGGAGCGGAGACAATAACATCGTTCCGGTCACAGATGGGCGACATATCGAATTCCCATTGCAGGATTGCTTTTGCCTCCCACATGGCCATTGCAGGATTACGTTGCGAGTGTTCCGTCCAGGACTTCCACAGGCTCTCACGAGTGTGTTGCACGCAGTGTCTTGGCTTCGACTCGAGCCATGAGGTGTGAATTAGAATTACCATCAAGTCTGAATACAGCTGTTGTTGTATTGCACCGGTCCAGGCAGGAAGACACGACCATGCTGGCTAGCCACAAGGTCACGAATTCAACCACGTGAGCTCTTGGAACCACCAGCGAACAAACAAGGCCCCTTGTCCAAACTCTCAGGTTGCTCCAGGGCGAATTATTAAGTCGGGCCTCTTGTTTTGAAAGGCGGCGTGCCGTCTTCATTTTAGCCCTCTCCGCTGCACACTGAGCGGAATCATAGCACTGAAGGTTTAACGACGACAGGCACAACCTGCGAGGCTAAGTGCAACTTCCCAGCTTCTGTCCAGCTGGGACTTCCGCTCAGGAAGATTCGAGACCCATAGCGGATCCCAGTAAGGTGCAGGACCGATGGACTTTGTCTCTCTGCCCTATACAGATGTCCCTATCTATATCTGTATATCTGTATGTATGTATGTATGTATGTATGTATGTATGTATGTATAATGTATATATGTATATAAATAAATAAATAAATATATATATATATGTAAATATATATATATATATGTAAATATATATATATATATATACATATATATATATATATTTACACATTTTTATATTCATATGCATACTTTGTTGGGCTCCCGCATATGCATACACATGTATCTGTATTTGTGTCTGTATCCGCGAAATTAATTTGTGCCTGTATATGCTTGTGGCAAACAAGTAGCTGTAGGTGTAGGCAAATAAACCAGTCAGTAACTCAAACATCTCATGAACAGATACAGACGTGCATGTAGAGAGAGAGAGAGAGAGACGTGTGTGTGTGTGTGTGTGTGCCAAGGTCGTAAACTATCGATAGGCACACTTCTTCTGTATCTGCTCTAGGACATGTGTGTACTAGACCGGCATAGAATGGCGGACTGCGAGACCTCGTCTCAGGCCAGCGACACCTGCCGCCGGGATGCAACGCTGCTTGATGCGATTTTGCGCATCGGGTGCCCGAGATGATGAGCCATGACTTTGTCGACGGTCGCCTTGCCACCGGGTGATCACGAGACAGCGAGCTCTGTGCAAAGTGTAACGAACTCACCTGCAACCTCCAACTTCGAACATTTTTTTGGGAGGCCTAGCGGTCCTAGACCAAGGTACTCGACAAGTTTTAAGAAATGTGAGACTCGAACTTGCAAATTTCGGGACTGTGCGTTTCGCGCCCTTTCTCTGGGGCGAGCTTGCCACCGCACTCTTTTTGGGGATGTTGCGTTGCTCACTTTGCGCTCTTGCTAGAGATCTGCAGCTTTCGTTCAACCCCTTTGTCCTTCGCCCTGGTCAAGAATTTCAGGGTTTAGGCATCTGCCGGCTTTCCTGTCGGGTTTAGGATGCCGGATTGCCTCCTTCCCTTCCGGGTCTTGAACTCGCCACCCAAGACTCATGTTCGTGGCTTCCCCATGCAAGCCGAAGCTAACTTGACAGGCCTGACTGAGACATCGGTTCGTCTACGTGAGATGCAGCATGCCAAATACCCTAAGGACAGCGTACAGCACCTCCACGATGAAGCAAACCTCGTAGGCTTGCGTCTGCGGACTTGACGGCTGCTCTTGACAAGCTACTTCACTTCAGTCCGTATTTCCGACAGCACCATTTGAGCAAGGTTGTCATCACCAGAGCACCAGCACTGAAGCGGGTCACAAACTTTAGCACGTTCAATAATTCGATTCAAGAGTTTAAGTACGAACTCTATAAATTGTGCCTCCCACGTGACCATACCGGCTGAAACTTTCACCAGCATTCCAGGGGGCCACGTAGACAGCATTGACAAAACACTCAGTTTCGCACGGCCATGGCCGACGGATCCAGTCAACGGTTCGCAAGACATACAGGGCATATCTCACCATGGTAAGGCTTAGGGCTTAGGGTTTACAGTTTACAGGGCTTTTGGTAGTGCGCCGTTAGGGCTTTGAGGTTTCCCGCCCACCAGATCCTTTTCGCCGTTGCCATCCTGCAAACCACCTCTTTACGTCTCTTCATGTCCGCATTTCGCCTTCTTGCTTTTCGTGCTCTTCCTTTTTTCCCGTCTGTTCCTCTGCCCTTCGAGCAAGCACAATCTCCACAACAAGTTCAACTTCCCGAGAGGTGGATCAATCAACAAGCCATCCGAAGAGCTTTCTTGAGATACAGGATTCCATGCTTGCCCGTGTCTGGCTCTGCGCAAGTCAAGAACGATACTTATCACGACAGACAAACGATGAACAACTCCGGCCGTTCCCGCAGCCGGAAAGTTTCCTGCTCCGGCCATTCCTTCGGCCGATACTGAAGAACACTACGGATGTTTGCCGCCAGAACAACTTTGAGTGCCAGTGTCTTTCGCCCACGTGAGGGTTAATGGTGCGCCCTCCGACGGGCCCTGCGAGGAACCACGACTGTCTACCCCTGCCCCGGGCAGTTTTGCTGGATGGGAGCCTAAACTTTAGCTGGAGCCCCAGGGGCCCTAACAACGACTTCGGAGGGGTTGCGAAGGTGGGAGGGATGACGCCTGACCCATGGCTGTCACACTCCAGCCACCCAAGGCATGACCGCACATGCCTCAAGCTTCCTCTGCAGAGACTGCGACAACCACCAGCGCAGGTTGACCATGTCCTTCACTGTAGCCTCAGTCACCAGACACAGACATTCGGCATAAGCTGGATCTTTGGTCTTATTGCGGGAGGCACGCCTCACTCGAGTTCCGACAGCAAAAGGCGACTTGGGTTCCAGAGCCAATGCTCACGAACTTATGGATGCTTATACTTATTCTGGTAGAAGCATCTATGATAACATTCGGAGCCTGTTCTGGCTTACGATGCAATCCTGTCAGAGACACCAACAGCAAAAGACCGCTGCTTCTGCACTTCTGGAATGCACTGACGATCCCAGGAGCAGTATTGCTCTTCTGGAGCTGCAGCACCTGTTCCACAAAGTCCGCGAAAGAGATCTGATGGGCCTGGTCGGACTCAGACTGAAGACTAGTGACTAGGGTCATCCCGGATCTGCACTTCTGGACGCATGATTCGGCTCCGCAACACAAATCGTACAACGATTCAGCCGAATACCTCTCCTTATGATCAAGGAGGCACGGCCATAGATCTCTTGAGGTGCACATGCAAATGCTCGGACAGCAGGCCTGACCCTCAGTATCCGCGGTCTTGGCAACGCCTGAAGTGCTGCAGTGTGCCATACAGGAAACCAGCAGCCTTACTGCTTTTCGGCTGACAATCAGCACCAAAGTTCGAGGGTCCCAGGAGTGCCGTTGGTAGGCAAACACATACAACGCGGACTTTGGATTGTCCTGTAATTGGTACGACCACACCAAAACATAGAGCCCGGGGCTCTGGCGGATCATAGGGGGTGCTTTCAGTCAAACCAGGAATTCCGACACAAGTCCTCTTCCCTCAGGCTCCAAATTACTAAACGCCTGGAGCCCATCAGAAGACCCATTACCGGCTGTAAAGCCCCATCGTGCCAAAGCGCTGAGCCTCAGTTATGACAAACAATTTCCAACCGAATGCCACTGAAATCCGTATCCTTGAAATGACAAAGTATGCAAAATCCGCACTCAAGCGCAAGTCTCTGAGGACGCCTGTGCTCGAGACTGTTTAGTCGGGGCCTCGCTCTTCGAAGATTAAGTCTGCAAAGTCAATCAAGCTCACCTTAGTCATGGCAACAGCAGGGAAGCACTCATCCAGCAGCACCACCACCTCCACGATGACGACTGCTTACTGCGCGGCTTCTACTGCTGTTGCAGTTCTTACTTCTGCTCTAGTTGTTGTTGTTGTTGTTGTTGCTGCTGCATTTACTACTACTATTGCACTGTGAAGCAACAACAACCGCTACTACCACTACCACTACTACAACTACAACTACTGATACTATGTCCACTACACCCACCCCCACCCCCGCCCCCACCACGACGACCACCACCACCACCACCACCACCACCACCACCACCACCACCGGCACGATAACTACCACTACCACTGCGACTATCACTATGCCTACCACTACCAATGCTGCTCCTGTTACTGCTACTGCTGCTGCTGCTGCTACAACAACAACAACTACTACTACTACTGCAGCTAGCACCACTACTTACACGACTAGCCACCGCCAACACAGCTGCTGCTGCTAAAGCCAACAACAGCTGCTACTACTACTGCTACTACTACTACTACTACTCCTGCTGCTACTACTCCTACTGCTACTGCTACTCCTCCTGTGGCTGCTTCTGCTGCTACTGGAAGACCCCATCCCGCAGACCTAGAAACATGTTTATCGTTGCCACCAAGACCTGACGAATACTGGGACTGGGACCCTGGCATTAGTTCCGAACGAGACCCAAATCCACAACCCCCGGCAAAGAGCCTCACTGCCTCTGCTGTCAGGACCAGCTGCTATGTCAACTCCGATTTCGTTCAGCGCCACCGCAACTTCCTGTTCTTGCCCAAGGTGGAGGACAGCCGGCTTCGAAGCTCGGGTTCAACTTTCGAACTCAAGTCGCACTTGGTGTCGGCTCGGAGTTACTTGTCTTTGGTCCAAGCGACAGGGATCACGACACCAATGCTGTGGTTGCCACTGCATCTGCTACAACTGCAAAAACCGGTGCAGAGACTGCAAACTTTCGAAGCATTCGGCTCTACCCTTGGCAAAACCAATGGAAAGCCTGGGGTTAGCGAGACAAGGCAGCACTGTCAGATCCGCAGTACAGTGAGGCAACGAGACCACCAGGACAAACATAGTGCCAAACAAGCAAAGACCAGAACACAGTTGCAGAGTACAGCCTACTATGGACTATTGCAGTCTTCTTCCAAAGTTCATTGCGGAACAGCTGGCGCATTGAGCATGTTTCTGGGATGTGCAACGTTAAGGCTCTCAATTCTCGACTTCTGATTCTGTCGGAATTAGCTCCCCTAGCGCGGGTCAAAGTAAACTGGGCTTAACATCCTAAGCTAACTAAGCTGAAGCAGTGTAGTCATCAGTCATCGAGTCATAGCGTGCCTGGTCCCGCAGGATCTGGTAAAACTCCTCCTGATCGACAAAAACGTCCGATCCTTGTTGGAGGCGTGAGCTGGGGACGTAGAATGAACGGCAGATACTCTGAATGCTGCTTTGCAAATTGGTGGAGCACATCGGAGCCTGCTTGAAGCCGAGCACTTTATGTCACTGTGCACGAATTTGCTAGAGACTAGGTGGCCAGCAGGCCATCATCGGCAAAGCAGTTGTCAACTGCCACCATTTTTGACAAGCAGCCACCCATAACTCGCCGGAGAGTTTCTTTCACCCAGCTGACCTGCTGTCATGCCACATGTCATACGCCGGCTGCTGGGGCACCGCGCTTTTTTTGGAGGACTACCGGCAGGTTGATGCACGATCTGCTCTCTGAGCAAACATATACACAACATGGCACTTGCATGCACTTGCGATGTGCACCATCATGTTCCACGCTGCGTATTCGTGCAAGCCTTCATTTAAGACCCTGGAGTAGTTTCAGCATATGTGCCTATGCAGCTTGTTCGAAGAAGTGCAGCAGCCGAGGTGCCTGCAGCGATTCCTTCTCCGCCGCAGCAACTGCAGTAATTACCTCGCACATGACGCCAATCCTTGCATTTGACAAGTCCGTCAGCTCAGCAAGCGACGGAACCAGTCTGAGCTTATGGTGCTATGCCAAGCATCAACATGTTCATGATCGTAATCGAGGAAAAGATTATGAAGAAGTACAGGCCGGCAAGCGCAAGCCATAACCTGACAAAGTACTGACATTTCACTGAGATCGAACAGCCAAGCGATGCTGCGCGGACACAGGGCTCTCCAGGATTAACGGCTACTTCTTTCCTCAGCTGGAGCTGAACTCTGTGTGCCTACTAATATACAAGTAGGAAATTGCGCAGGCCGCTGTTGGATATGGCATGGTTAGATGAGATAACCTTTAGGCCGCGATTTCTGGTGCCCGAACAGTTTCGTAGGTGAACCCTGAACCCGTGTAGAGGTTGTGGACAACCATGCGGTCATGGATGCGCCGACGCTCAATCATCATTATTTATTGCTGCTTTTGCGAGCGTCAGGTTCGCGCATCTTCAGCTTTTATTCTCCATGACATGTACCCTCCAAAAACTCCAACCCCCCATTCGCATAACAAAAATACTCCCATCTCAAAACGAGCTGCTTTTCGGCGACCATTGCTGACACGAGGTCCCAGACTTCGTCCAACAGGGTACCGAAGATGAAGAAGCCTCGAAGCAATTATTGACTTGTTGATGCTACTGCAATGCAAGACTTCGAGCCGACTGGACTTCTGCGGTTGAACAGCTACAAAAATTGAATTTTGGGTGTCCCAACCCCGTCCCAGTGTATGATTTATCTATTCAATCTCGGAGCCGACCTAACAGATAGCACATTGGGTTTAGCTTTCAGGCCCAAAAGCATAGCAAGACAATAGGAAGCATAGGGCTCTAACGAGAGGCGCTTTCTGCGAGAGTTTTAGAGCTTTTGAGGTTCCCCCCATTCTTGAGATTTCCTGAGGCTGCAGCGTCCACAAACCTACAAAAATCAAAGCGTTGCGGAAAGGTCTTTCAAAGGCAGTCCTTGTCTTCGTTGTAAAGTCGGATAGAATCTCAAGCTCGGGGTGTATAAGCTTGGTCAGCTTTTATGGTCAGAACGACCAGAAACCCAACTAACCCATGCAGGGTGAATTTTGCGGAAAGGTCACAAGCTTTTCCAACAGGAGCTTCGTTGAGGACTTGAGCAGGCACCGAACCAACCCCATAGATAGAATCTTGGGTTAGGAGCCTTCATTGGAGAATCGACGAAACACTGACCTGACCCCATGCACTCTCACCCTCGAGCACGTCAGAAGAGTGGGTTTAGCTTCATTCACTGCCTGAATGTAGATAGGCTGCTGCAGACGGATTGTCTGCCACGCGAGGGTAATCGTCTTGTAAATACTGTCAGCTTCCCACGTACATGCTGGGCAGTAAGCTTTGCGCAGGTTGTCTTCGACGTCGCAATTGTGCGTGATATCGTCTGTGTCAACGTATGTCTGGAAGACAGCTATCAAGACTGCCGGAACGTGTGTTCGTGTTGTGCGAGATGGGTACGGCTGTCCAGCCTGTCAGTCATGCAAACCACAAATGACCAAATTGGGAACCCCCCCAGTAGATGTAGTCAACTTTTGATGCTTCCTGGCTCCATAGATTTGCCTGGCGCAGAGCCGCTATGCATGTAGCAAGCATGCATGTATTTCCACCACGTTCGCTTCCGAAAATGTGGTGCAATTAGATACAGTGCGCATGTCACGCACAAATCACCTGCGAGACATACTCAAGGTCAACTTCCCCAACAGCATAAGAGTGTTTTCTCGAGGTTTTGCAGATTCTACCGACTTAAGAGAGAGCGAAGCCTGGACAGGAAAGTCAAGCAGCGTGAGCCCAAGGCGCGCAAGCAAAACAGATGCCTTGCTTCGTACCAGAACAACTTAAACAAATACCCCGAGCTCACATTTCCCTTTAGGGTCAGATCCCAACCGGACCCATGTAGTCAGTTAGGCACAGCTTGTTGACGCATGATGTGATGCTTCGCCTCTGAAGCAGGCTGATCTACTGTTTGCATAGAATCTCCGCCTCATCGGCCAGCAAACACGCAACGATGCTACTGAGTTGTTGCGGTTCTTGATGCTGTTCTTGGATGCCGCCCAGAAAGCTTTGCATGGAGAGGAGGACGTTGTTGAAATAGATGCGGCCGCATTCTGTTCCCTTCAACGACTGGGTGAAGGCAATGGAGTAGGCCTCGTCGCCAACGGGCTGTGTGCAAAGAGATGCAAAGAGCAGCCTCGTTGAAGTTGACTCCTATGTACTCCACTCTTGGAAACTGCCAAGTATCATAGAGCAGCAGCATGAGCAGAGCCAGCGTGAACACCACCGAGCGCATTGCGGCCACAATGGCCTGAACGCACGAGATCCAGGTATTGTGGCATTGGCTGCAGACACTTTGCGGGACTTCGACACGACAGACCTCTCTGAATCTTGAAGACACCGGCCTTGACCAGAATGAAAAGCTCCGGCATGTAGCGCAACAACCTGATTCTGACGCAGCAAAAGGCACAGGCTTAGCGTCGACACCACATGCCATGAACGAACGCGCACGCGTGTGTGTGTGTGTGTGACGACGCACTCGTGACGGTGCCACAGGGAAACTTGCTCCACGTTCCAGCTTGAAGCAAAACCTCACGACATGACCGTGCTTGTCGGCCTGGCCATGCGCAGCAAGCGGGTGAGGCGCAGGAGCCGGGCAATCCGCAAAACCTGCCATGATCGCTAGGCAGTATTTCGACACCGACTAACAGAGCATTTACGCCTGCACCTCATTGCAGGCAAGGGGCGCTTGCATCTGCAGCCAAACCTGCACGAATCAAGAAACGCTGCCACAGACTATCTCCCACAGAAGGCTACAACTGAACATCCACGTGCAGGAGCACAGCGCAAGGCTTTCTACGTATGCGTATGTCCTCGGGCTCGAGCTTACACCGCTTTTCACCGTGTTGGGGCTTTTTGGAGGCTGGTATGGGGATCTTTTCTCAGGCCAGGCACTCGCAGAGACCTGATGAACAAAGAGCTGGATCAAGGGAACCAGCCACGTCCTCATGTCAGCACAGACGGTTGAATGCGTCTAGATAGGCGGAGAGCTCCAGCGGTGCAGCTTGCTAATGCCCAGCCATGCTCTGCTCGCTGATAGGTCAGTTTTTTTTTGAACCCAGGCTCTCTTTGCTGATAGGTCAGTTGAACATGCAACTCGCCGTTTGGAGAGTCTGAAACTTGTGACTGGGAGGCTGTAGCACCATTGTCGCCACCAAGAAGAAATCAAAGACGAACCAGACATCCTGCCATCAGCATGGTTTCTAGTCTGACATCTCAACTGGAAAACACATACACTAAGCTGCGAAAGTTGAAGGCTCCGAACCTCTGGGCTTGAGACTGCAGCGTCACCCCTGTGAGAGAGAATAAACCGTGCGTTTTGATGTGACTCGCAGATGAAAGTCAATGTCGACCTTCGAGTGCAGAGGAAGTGCACGTCCATGAACTCGATTTTTCCCAGGCTTCCCGGGACAACAATTTCTCTGAACGGAGAAAGGCTTCAAAACTGAAAGGAAGTTGTCCTGGCATGCGAATGGACCGTGGCCTCTGTGATCCCGAAAGACTTGCAGCTCCACAGGTGATGCATACATGGCAACGAGTATAGTTCGATGGCTCTGGTGTGGCAAAGCTTCGTGGTCTACGGTACGGCTTGTAACACTCCCAATTCCAATGACATAGGTCCTTGAAGCATTTGTGTTTGGATTTGATCGAGAGAAACCGGAGCAGCAGCTCGACAAAGAAGAATGTGCAAAAGAACTGCTCCATCCAGAAGAACACCGAGCGGGGGTCTGTATTGACCTTAGGTTGCACCGGGTTGAGCTCCAACACTTGTCACTTGTCGCGTAGCACGTCCGAGATTCCGAATATAACCTTTGCCCAAAACAATCGAGCACATCCCAGACTTTGGAGAAAAAGCTTAAAAGCCCTCACAGAGGCGTCGGCATCATCTGGATTATAGTCGGTGTCAATCGCCAGGTAGATGGCATAAAGGGCAATCCTGAGCGAACCGAACGGCCCCGGACTACTGGTACAACTTATACTACTACTGCGAGGCTGGATGCGACGCTGGTGCGAGGGCTTCTTTCATTGTTGCCACCACCGCCACCACGACCACTACGACCATCACGGCGACGACTACGACAACGACGACGACTGCTACTGCTACTCCTGCTGCTGTTACTACGACTTCGATTCGACTACTTGACACGACTGCTAGTCCTACGATCACAAGGACGACGACCGCGACTGCAACAACAACACCAATGTCAACAATATTAAAACACCAACAGGAACAATGACAGTAAGACCCCCACCACCACACGCAGTAGCAGCAGCAGCCAGAGCCATAGACGGATCCGGAGCCGAAGCCAGAGGCCCAAAGCAACAGCAACAACAACAACAACAACAACTGATGCTGCTACTACTACTACTACTACTACGACGACGACGACGACTACTACTACTCCTGCGGCTACTGCCGCTGCTATACTACTTCTAC